CCGCCGCGTTCCAGGCGCTCGTGAGAGGATGTATCGACAAGGCCCAGGGGACGGGGGGCCCTCTCCGCAGGGGCTCACACCTCTGGAGGCCTCCCTGATGGGGTCCGAGTTCGTGGGGTCGTAAGACCACGGCGCATCGCCAATGCATCGGCGATGCATCGTCGACGTCGGCGACGCAGTGTGGGGAATATCGGGCTCGGCGAAGCGGTGCGATCCTCCGACCCCATCTGCTCGGACCCGATTTGGGAGGCCCGGAACCTCGTCAAGGGCTAAACGACTTCTGCTGTCCCTCGACTCGCGCTGGAGATTCAACGAGTTGTCCAGATCAATCTATGCCTAGAGTGGCATTGATCCGCGCATATGTATATCGAGATACTCAGATTTTTGCATAGATTGGAAAAGTTTCGCCAAGCCCTGAACGGAACACTCCCAATGCCTTGAACAAGTCAGCACAGAGGTTTTCCCTCGCGTTTGGCCTTCGGGGGCCCTCCCCAGGCCCCTGGGCCGTCAACAAAAAGCGCAGGGCGAAAGGCTGGCCCTGCTGGGGAGAGGGCTGGGACGTCCAGGGACCCAGCAGTAAGGGAAAATCCAAGACATCGGATGTCTGGGGAGCCGGAGCCCTCCCCGCAGGAAGGCTCCTTCCATACCCGAGGCCATACCCGAGGCCCTAGGGCGGCAGCTCCTCCATACCCGAGGCCCGAGGGGCCCCTTGTCGGGCCTCAAGAGACCCCGTGGGCCATCCGACGACGTGTTTTTTTCGATGCGCGGCAGGCAGAGGTCCCGAGGCCCGTTTCCTGGGGCCAGTTTTTCGCCCCAGGCGCGGTTCTGACGGCCCATGGGGCCCGACAACGGGCCCCCTGACAGCTCAAACCGAGGCAGAACGCCAAGGTTGAAAAATGCGTATCGACGGGGATCTGCGACTTCTGCTAGGCCTGTGGTTTTGAGTTCTCCTCCTGTTCTCCACCCTCGGGGGCGCTCCTGTCGCCTCGGCGGAGCGCGTCTCGGAATCCACCAGCCAGAGGTGGTGCCCGGAAGGAGTCCAGGAGTCCGGGAGTAGTCCGTTGAGGGCGGGTTCTGGCCATCCTATCAGATTTTTCCAGTCTGGGCGCTGCTCTCTGTCTCGACCTCTATGGGATCCGCTTCCGGGCCCAATCAAGCTGGCCCTGGGTCGAGACTTGGGGTTGCACACTGAAAACATCTCGTCGTCGGGTGCCTCAGCATCCTCATCTGGACTGGCACAGCGAAACCCGAAGGGATCAGCATGTACCCCCACCTGCGGGGGAAGTCGGCTATGGGGCCATGGGGATGGGGATCGGATGCGCACAATGCTCAATGCCTGGGGGTGGGGTGAAGGTGAGGGCTCTCAGGGGGCGTCCAGGCAGCGTCCCATCCTGCCCCCTCTCGCTCGTGCTTCTCCTGCTCAACCTGCTCCCGCTGCTTGTGCCTCGAAGACCGCAAGGATTCGTTGCACTTGGTCGGTTTCGCGCGCGGTTCCGCTCGAACATGTGCAAGAGCGGAAACGATGAGCGGGGCGGGGCGCCGCTTCCCACTGCAGACCAGACTCAGAAGCCAGGCGAAGGCTGGCAAACCCGTGGCTGCTAAAACGGAGCTCCGGGAAACTGTTTCTTGCTTCCAAGAAGCAGCCGCTTACTATTTAGTGCGCTGAGTTTTTTTGTTGATTTTTCCGGGAAGGTCGTTTTAGCAGCCACGGATTTGCCAGCTCTCGCCCAGCTTCCGACAGACCTCCTTGAACCGCACCCTGGTCGCCCGCTCCCAACTGCTGCCCTTGCGCTCCACCTCCTGCTGCTCCCGCTCCTCCCGCTCCCGCCGATCCAGCTGCTCCTGCTCGTGCTCCTGGCTCCCGCTCCCTCCCGCCTGGCCCCCCGCCGCTCGCGCCCCCTTCCCCTCCTCTCGTCGCGAGATCCTCAAACAGGGTGGGCTCCACGGCTTCCTGAGATGACAGTGGAGAGAGCGTCGCCCCACGAGGAAGGCGAGCTGTGCGGTCCCAGCGGACGCGGTACCAGGAACATTCCCTTCTCCTTCCTCCTCCTCCCCAGGTCCCCGTCGCTCACCTGAGGATCTGGGCAGGCTGAGCGCATCCGCTATGCATTTCTGACCTGAGGGCAAGCTCACGCAAGCCTGACTGCAGTCAAGAGCACGGCTTCCCTCGCCCAATCTTCCTCCTCCTCCTCCTTCCTCTACCTTCTCCAGGGCCTCCCCCTTCTCCATCTCCTTCCCTCCTCCAGTCCCCGCCCCCCCTTCCTCGAAACCAAGGGGTGCTTTTACCGGCGAGGCTCCGCGCGGATCTCCTGGACCTGCGCTGGAGGCCCCTCTGGCGCCAACCCTGGCACGCTCCGCGCGCCAGACAGGGGGTCCAGCTCTGATCTAAGAACTCCGCGCAGAACTTCGAGAGTTTGTGATGATTTTTTTCCCAAGCAGTGCTTGCGCTTGGGGCCTCTTGCTCAGGTCACCTGAGGACTTGCATGGATCTGTCGAGGTGTCGCCTGGTGCTCGGTTGGTGCCTGGTCTTGGGCGCCTCGTGGGCACCCCGTGCGCTGGGTGGGCTGGCCGAGGTTCCGCCTGGTGCCCGGTTGGTGCCCAGTCGTCGGCGACTCGCGGGCGCCCTTTGCGCTGGGTGGGTCGGCCCGGTCGTGGGCGCCTCGAGGGTGGACCTTTCGCTGGGTGGCCGCATAGCTCACGCGACATGGCCTGCACCATTTTCTTGCACCGCGAAGCTAACACTGCAGAGAGTCCACCCAACATTCATGTATATACTGCACACATACCTTCAACAATCCGGAACAGAACTTGATTGCACCACATAGATTGCATCTAATAATTTACACCGCACAGCGTGCACCACATACAATGCTACACAGCATTACTATACCACGCAGCTTGCAATCTATATCTGGCATCACATAGCGTGCACCATCTCACTTGCACCGCATTGCTTACACCACACAGCTTGCACCACATATTGCACATGCACAGTGCAACAACTCTTTGATCGGGGTTCACGGTCTACGCTATTAAACATTTGTCGTTTATTCTCGTTTATCCGACCTTTTACCCTTCTTCGAGGAGCCATGTCGATCCGAATGCTTCGGCCGGGGGCGCTGACAGGGGTGTACTGGCCCATGGACCCCCCCACTAGCTATTCATCGCCGCTCGGGGCCTGGGCCTTCCGACCCGCCTGGGAAGGGCCTGCCAGCGATCTGTCGGCGACGTATCGCTAATGTCGCGTCCAAGTTTTCCCCCTGCCTGAGGCAGTCCCCACCCACCCTCTTTCGTCCCCCCCCCTCTGCAGCGTTCCCCCTCCCCCAGCCTCTCCCGGTAGGGAGGAGAAGGAGGAGGAGGAGGGAGTGAGCGAGGAGGAGGGGGGTAGCAAGAGTGCCTGCCTGTCTCCCTTCCCCTCGCGTTCTAGAGGTCGCGATGCTCACGCCGCAGTGCTTGGCGAACTCGTTCTGGGCCATGGGGCGCCTCAAGGTCCGGGGGGCCGACGTGGACAGGTTCGTGGACCGGGCGCTGAAAGCCCTGGCCAGCCCCGCGCCTAGAGCGAGGAGAAGGAGGAGCGAGGAGGAGGAGGAGGAGGAGGAAGAGGAGAAGGAGGAGGAGGATGATGTGGGTCACAAGGGGAATTGAGGTTGGAGGGATTTGGATCTGGATTCAGCTTCGGAACGATGCGTAGCAACATTAAGACTGGTTTCTTGGGATCAAGTCGGCGCTGACCCTTGTGTGCCAAACTCCTGTCGAACCGAGATATGTACTCCCGTCTCGTCCTGGTTATAGGAAGCGGGTCGCATTTCAGAGTGAGGGGCTTCCTCAGTTGGGATTGGCCGAAATTCCCTCCCCCGTGCAAATCTAGATATTCAGCCGAGGCCCACATTTCATGATGCGCGAACCGTCCACCCCCCCCCCCGCAAGATTCACATAACTAGCTGAAGGAGATCCCCCGTGGCGGGAACTAGTGCAACGCGAGGAGTTATAAGCGACGGGCTGACGAGTCGTAGCACCTCGTTGACAGCTGGCCGTTGTCGGCCACCACGTGCTCCGAGGCGAAGAGATCAATGGTGGCGGGCGCGGGCGGGGGAGGAGGAGGTGGAGGCCGAGGCTCATCAACATATCCAGCTTCGCCACGATTCGCTCTGTCAATGACTCTCGAGCGTCGATCTCTATCAGTCGTTTCCTAAAAGGCTGGTCTTGCTTTCAACTCTGGATTTCTGGAACCTTTGCACTGCTGAATCTCGGTAGGCCTCGGCACATTCACCTGCAAGCTTGTCAGCGATCTTGTTACCGCTGATCATCCACACCGTCACAACAAAGACTACGGCCCCGGTTGTGAAAAGCAGACAACCTCGTTAATCTGCAGTTCTCCTATGGGGATCGTTTGGGAAGTACCTGTGAGGAGCCCAGTGATCGAAGCGTGGAAGATGAACGGTTATTTTGATGGTGAAAAACGCAGCCCTCCTAAGTCTGGGATCTTTGGGGTCGGGTCCTCCTGAGGCGCCCCCACCGACATACATGGGATTTTGCGGAGCACCGTGCCCTAGACGTTCAGGATACAGCTGTTCAAGCCCGTGGTCACCCATTGCTCGTCAGACACTGGCCGCCGATGCAGGTGCAACTCTTGGGGATAATTCCACGCTGCCAATGACACACATCGGCCTCCCCTGGTGCGATCGCCTCGGGGATCAGGTCATCCGATGCAGCAGTAGTCTGATGTTCGCAGTTTGTTCAGCAGCGCCAGTGTCCGTGCATTGGTGTTTCGGGCTCCTGCTCAAATTTGGGGCTGAGATCGTGTGGTGCTACACCCGCCTCCTTTTTTTCCCAGGCTGAAGCCACGTACCCCCAACTGGAATGCTCAAAAGCAGCTCTGCTAACTGCTTGTCGTGCAGTGTTCCCTGCAATTGCTTACACAGAAGCTTGGGGCTGTAAATGTCGGCGCCGCTTTCCATGCCTTCGCTGTTGTAATATTATGAGGCCAATCTCCATTGACGAATCGAGCGTGCCTCGGTTCTCCGCCATCAAATCTTTGGCCTGGTCGATGGTCTCCAGCTGCTCGTATTTCAAGTCCACGTGCAGCCTTGAGTGCCATCGCTGGTTGGACCATGCCATACATCTGGCTGGACAGGATCCACGCCCAGAAGCATGAGCTTGTGTATGATCGCCGACATCGGTCCTCTGAAGTGTCTGGAGAGGTTTGCAGGACGAATCTGCAGGTTTTGCCGATGCCCGATTAGCCAAGCACGCCGTACTCCTACCCTGCAAGTGGATACACATATCCATGCATGTGACCACTGCCGCACACAGCTGGCTGGCAATCGGATTCGTGGGTCTGACCTGACGCTCGTATGTCTAAAAGGGTGGTGACGCACCGGCCTCTCCTCTTAGATTCTGCAACAGGGGCGAGACGACGTCGTAACGAAAGAGGTGTTTCCCGAAGACCTCATGGGCCTGAGGCTGGTGTGACACGCCTGCCTGCGCGCCGCCAGCTCTACCCTTTGGTCACGGGATACCATTTCGACGCGTTAGCGAATCTCCTTAGCTTGTAATTCTGACTAGCTTCTTGGACAACTCTTTGTCGACGTTTTCTGCGTGTTGATCTCCTACCTGCCCCTGTGCCGACGCATGCGTAGGTGGTGTGCACATCCAGTGTCAATCGCCTGACAACTGTGTCGGCAAATCGGTGATCAGAAGAAGCACTGCGCTCTTGGAAAGCGCGCCAGTGGATGACCCTGTAATTGAAAAGGGGTGGGGGGCTCGCCGCAACCCCCCCCCCTCCTTCCCCCCTTCAAAGGGGGGTGAGATTTTCGAACCGCCCCCCCCTCCCCCCCTTCAGGGGGGGGTGAGATTTTTCGAATCGCCCCCCTCTCCCCCCATTCAGGGGGGGGGGTCCGAACCCCTCCCTCTCCCCCCCCCTTGAAGGGGGGGGGGGGTCCGGACCCCCCCCCCTCCCTCCCTTGGCGCTGGACGGGGGGGAGATTCGAACCCCACCCCCCCCTCCTCCCCAATGCGCCTAACAGGGGGCCAGGGAGGGGGCCTTTCCCGCAAGGGGGGGGGTCTGGCCTCGGGATAGTGAGTAGTGAGTAGTGAGTAGTGAGTAGAGACTAGTGAGTAGTGAGTGGTGAGTAGTGACCAGGGAGTAGTTCGAAGTGACTAGTGAGTAGTGAGTACTATGAAGTGAGTAAGTGACTAGTGGGGAGTGGGTAGTGAGTAAGAAGTATCGAGTAGGGAGTAGCGAGTAGTTCATAGTGAGTAGCGAGCAGGTCATTGTGAGTAGTGAGTAGTGAGGACGGGGTAGTGGGTAGTGAGTAGTGAGTAGCGAGTGAGGAGGTGCGAGTAGTGAGTAGTGAGTAGTGAGGAGGGAGTAGTGGTAGTGAGTAGTGAAAGGCGAGAAGTAGGTAGTGGGTAGTGCGTAGGGAGTAACGAGTAGAGAGTAGTGAGTAGTGACTAGTGAGTTGTGAGTAGTGTGTAGTGAGTACTGAGTAGTTGGGTATTTAGTAGTGACGTGTGACTAGTGACTAGTGAGCACGGAGTAGGACATAGGGAGCAGTGCGTATTGAGTAGTGAGTAGTGCGGAGTGGGTAGTGAATATTGCGTATCGGGTAGCGAGTAGCGAGTAGGGAGTATCGAGTAGTGAGTAGTGGGTAGTGAGCAGTGAGTACTGTGTAAGGAGTACGGGGTAGCGCGTAGCGAGCAGCGGATCGTGAGTAGTGAGTTGTGTGCAGCGAGTAGCGAGAAATGAATTGTGAGTATCCAGTAGTGACTTGTGTATAGTGGTTAGTGGTTAGTGAGTTGTGATTAATGAGTAGTGAGTAGTTGGCTGTGAGTAGTGTTTAGTGAATAGTGAGTACTGAGTAATGAATAGTGAATAGTCAGTATGGAGTAGTGAGTTGGGAGCAGTGAGTAGTTCGTAGTGAGTAGTGGGTAGCGGGTCGTGAGTCGTGGTAGTGAGTAGTGAATCGTGAGTAGTGAGCAGTGAGTAGTGAGAAGTGAGTAGTGAGTAGCGAGTAGTGAGTAGCTGGTTGTGAGTAGTGAATATTGAATACTGAGTACTGTTTGGGGCTAAGGTTAGGGTTTGGTGTTAGGGTTACGGGTGGTCGGGGTGGTAGTGAGGGGTGGTAGGGGTCGGATTCCGGAGCCATGGGAGAGGGCGGGGTCGAATTAGGCGGCCAAAGGGGGGGAGGGGGGGGGGTCAGACCCCCCTCCCTTTGAAAGGGGGGAGGGGTCCCCGACGACGGACCGGGAAAAGGGGGGAGGAGGGGGGTTCCCCGACGACCGACTAGGAAAGGGGGGGGAAGGGTCCCCGACGACGGATCGGGGAAAGGGTGGGGGGTTCCCCCCCCCCCCCTTGGGGCTATCCAGCGGTGCGCCCTCGTGCTCTTGCTTGCCATGGGTAAAGGCTGCTGCTTAATATGCTCGTCGAGGTCAGCGATCCTGTCGACTAACACTTCCTCGACTTGGCGCTAGGAGCCCTTGGCAGACAGGTGCGGATCATCCACCCAGATCCTCTCCTCTCCCCCATGCCTGCTTGATGGTAAACCTCTCCCTCGCGATCCCTGCACGACGCTCCTGGTAGCTTGACATCAAAATGAGTTAGCGCCAAACTGCGACAGACTTCTGGCCGCACAAACAAACTTGAGCTCCAACCCAAGGATGATTAGCGGAATCCTTGACGGAGGGCTGACACTACGAGCTGGTATCACCGAGTGTAACCGTGCAAGCTTTTTGCTCACATACCTACCGGTGTGATCTCGCACTGCACTATTTCGACCGACCGACCGTGCCCGGGGTGTGTGCTGGACTGGGATGTGTGCTGCGATGTGTGTTGGGACATGTGCTGATACGTGTGCTGCCTTCGTGTGCTGGATTGTGCAAGCCTGTGTGCTGCCTCAGTGTGCTGGGACCTCCCGTCCCCCTGTTTTTCCCCCCGCGCGCCCCTCCTCTCCGTGGCACCCGTCTGCGCATTCCGACCGACCGACCGTGCTCCCACCTTCCTCGCGACCGTGCCTTCCCGTCCCCGTGCCCCCCCCGCACCTCCGCCCCGTGGCCCCCGTCTGCCGCTTCCCTGCTCCCCCCCCCGGCACCCCTCCGCCCCGTGGCCCCCGTCTGTTTATTCCGACCGATCGACCGTGCCCCCCCGTCTGCCCGACCGTGCTCTCCCGTCCCCCTGCTCCCCCGTGGCCCTCGATAGCTTATTATTCCCGACTGTGGCCCCCCCCCTTTCCTCCCGACCGTGCCCCTCCATCCCCTTGCTCCCACGTCGCGCCCCTGCGCCCCGTGGCCCCCGCTTGCTTATTCCGACCGACCGACCGTGCCCCCCCCCCCTTGGTGCCCGACCGTGCCCTCCCGTTCCACTGCTCTCCCCCCCGGCACCCCTCCGCCCCGTGGCCCCCGTCTGCTTATGCCGACCGATCGACCGTGCCCCTCCCCCACTCTGCCCGACCGTGGCCTCCAGTGCCCGTGCCCCCCCCCGCGCCCCTCCGCACGGTGCGCGCCAGGCACCCCTGGGGCCTGAGCGTGCCAGGCACGTGTGCGGGGTGTGCCGCATACTCCAGCCGCGCCAGGTGTTCCAATTTCGGGGCACGTGCAGAGTGTGTCAGGTGCGCCTGCGCACGTGACAGCACACATCGGGAAACATGTCGGCTCTCACCATCGTGGTCGTGAGCCATTGCCCATCATTATGTCTGGTGGGCCTGCGCACAACTTGCCAAACGAGCATCGGGTCAGCATTGTTCCTGGTTGGCTTCTGGTCGCCTGGGGGAGGGGGGGGGTATATCAATATGGGACAGTGATAGACCCCTCCAGAAAGGGAATCACGGGGGTTGGAAGAGGGAACGCTGCAATTCGCTCGCGCCCAGAGGGTTGGTGGGATTTGAGGATTCCGCTGGCCCGAGACTGGGCGAGCATGCGGGCAAGATCGCCTGCAAGTTCCCCCCCGCCCAGCGCGAGTAAGTCAGGTCTGAATGGAAGCAGGATTGAGGATCGAATCTCGAGGTTAAAGGACCGAAATTCGAGGAGCGAGGATCGAGGTTCGAGGATCAGAGTTCCAGGATCTGGGGTCGAGCATCGATGATCGAGCATGGAGGTTCGAGGATCTGTCCGAGGCGCCGCGCCGCTCAGCAGCTTCACCTCCCAGGGCCTCGCCAACGTCCTCTGGGGCCTGGCCCAGCTCCGCACCATCGGCGTCGGCAGGGACCCGCAGGACCGCACCGTGCGCAGGGCGGTGGTCCGGGGACCCTGCGCGGCGCCCACAACTCTGCCATCCTGCCTCGTCTTTGCTCCCTCCCTCCCTCCGTCCTCCTTCCTCCCTGCCTCCTCCCCCCTCATCCTCCCTGCCTCTTCCATGCCTCCTAACCGCCTCATCCCTGCTCCCTCCCGCCTTCCCCTCATCGTTCCCCTCATCCTCCCTCCCCCCCTACCCCCTTCCCCTCCTCCCTCTTCTCTCTTTCCTCCCCCCTCCTATTCCTCGTCCCTCCTCCTCGGCCCTCCTGAGGAGTGAACTGAAGAGAACGATGATGATGATGATGATGATGATGATGATGATGATGATGATGATGATGATGATGATGATGATGATGATGATGATGATGATGATGATGATGATGATGATGATGATGCTGATGCTGATGCTGATGCTGATGCTGATGCTGATGCTGATGCTGATGCTGATGCTGATGCTGATGCGGATGCTGATGCTGATGCTGATGCTGATGCTGATGATGATGAGGAGTGATCGATATTTTTTTATCACACTCCCATATGCGATGCAATGGAGACTCGTCTTTCTTTTTCCACCTGGGACAGAGTGGACAAAACTGAACTTTCGTAGAACCTCGGCCACGAACCTCCCGCCACAGCACTCGCCAGCAATTCAGAACTCCTTCTCGCCCTAGGGATCTGCCCGAGCTGCCTCAGGAGTCGATAGAGGGAATACACGTCTATACCTTGGCCCATGCCGCTCAGCTGCTGCCCACAGAAGCTTCTCCGACGACTGGTTCAAGTCCTGGATAAACAGTTTAGTATCGTTCAATGCCGAGATTTCCGAATAACCTGCCTCAGGGGATCGCCATTCAATTCCATCTTCCACGATCCAGCAAACCGGCGAAACTGGGTTCCACTCCCGTTCAAGAAGCGCCAAGATCACCGCAGACATGGACCTCGGACCCAACGGAAACGTTGCGACCAGGGGAGACCACAGAACTGCTGGACCACACCACTCCTCGAGCGATGAACACGCCCACGAGTCTCTGGCCTAGCGAACCACTGCTGCAACCGTAACTGCAGAGATTGCTGAGGGTGCCGCGCTCTTGGATCGAGACCAGGCGCTTTCATGGCTAACGTGTAAGACAAACAACACCCGCGGCCCCCAGACGAGACAGCAACAGCTAAGCTTCTCCGAAAGGATACAAGACGTTGGCCGAACGTACCGTGTAACTCTTGCCCGTACTTGCCCGCTGCCTGCGCGCCTATTCTTTCAAGCCGAGACGTTATCGAGTACTGTTTGGAGGCACGAGCATGCCGAACGACACGAGCACGCATGCGACCGTGCTTGGCCATCCTCTTGGTGCGAGTGGCCCTGGCTGTCCTCCTTCCCCCCCCTTGAGCAATCCCAAGACAAGCTCCCTGCAGCTGAGGTCGGACGTTGAAACGCTTCAGCCGCAATCGCCGAGAGATCTCTTGGGCGTCGCCGTGGAACGAGCAGATCACAATAGACTTGGGGGGCACGCCGAGATGCCACTCAGCCAGCTCATTACATGCAGCCCCCATACAAGACGTGACACCCTCGACTACAGAACACCTCGATCCTGACATCCTCTGCGAAAGGTCGTCTTTCCAGATACGATGGCCCAGGGCAGGGCGACTTCTCGATGTTCGTGCGATAACATAATGGGTCATACATTTCGCGAACCGGGTCCCCGACCTGAGACCCCGGATGGTGCTACGATTTACAAAAATGGTTCACACACGGTACTGGGTGTTTTTAAAATGTCCGCGCTGCAACACGCTGAGCCAGCTCCATATAGAGAACCTCTGGAGGAAAACCCAAGCGGAGCGCACCACAGACAAACACATTCCATTCGAGGCCATCATAGAGACCTCGGCTGTCCAACATTCGGTGGCCTGTGGGTAACTTCATCCAGCCAGCAACTTCGTAGCCAACGTACAGTGAAATGCCTCGACCAACGAGCTGTTGTCACGTATCGTGCGTCCCACTCCGTCTCCACAGGCACGCGCCACCCACGGACTAGATGCTTGCGAATGCTTGGCCAAATGCGTCCTATCATCGAGATGAGCCTAGAGACCCGATCACCTTCTGACTTTTTGGGTGGCATCTTGCCTGCCGCCAAGTGAATTTGGTGTGGCCAAGTGAGGGTCGCCCCGACCACGTTTATCAGCGCCGCGAGCTCCTCCAAGCCAGCCTGAGGAAGACGCTCCACGTCCAGCGGAGTGAGGCGATCGGCGCCGAGGCCCGTCTCCCCGCTCATGCGATGAGCGGCCTAGCGCACTTGGTCGGCGGTGATAGGCTCCATGGGTTCTTCTCGTGCCGCCTCCTTGATGGCGGCGAACGCCCGAGCGCTTCCTCGAGCGTCTCCTCCTGCGGCCGTCCTGCGTGCCCAACCTGGTCATCTAGTAAAACGCAGGCGACGTGAGGGACGGATGGGTTCGAGGAGTGCCCTCCGTCCCGCTCTGACCTTGCAGCACAACATGGCTGGGCTTCGGAGACCTGCAGCAGAAATTTGGCGACGTGTGAAATGGTGGGGTTCGAGGAGCCCCCCCCCCGTCTCGTTCTGACCTTGCGGCAAAACGTGGCTGGGGTTCCTGAGTAGATGGCGAACCCTGGGCGACGCGAGGTAGGGATGGGTTCGAGGAGCACCCGCCCTCCCGTTCTGACTTTCCAGAAAGCCTCCCTTCCACAGTTTACCTTTCCGATCCAAGGTGTCCTGAGGGCGCGCCAAGGATGGCGAGACGTCCTGCGAAGGAAGGGGGTCTTCCTGCATACTCTTGCGCGACCTTCCCACAGCCTCCTGAGAAGTATTGCCAGTGCGGAACTCGCCCAGCGATTCACGATCAGCACGTCGTAGGGCTCCCCCTTAGAAAGTTTATCTGTCTTTTGTTGGGAAATGGCATCCACCGCTCCGCGCGTTGGTTCCAAATTCAGGAGCAACCCATTCCGGACATCGATACCTGCATCTTTCAGACCCAGCAACATCTTGCCAACTCCGTCGGGTTTGTCGGGCGCTAAATGCCCGGCCACCTGCTGCAACTGATTCGTATGTGTGCGACAGTTCTCACGGCCCCCATGGCGCTCGATCTGCGAGAGGATGAGCCTGCGCGCTCGCAGCGTAGTCGCGAACAGGTTCAGCTCGAGAGCGATTGCTTTGCTTGACCGGTTCTTCAACGAACGAACATCCGTCGCCCTTCCGCGAGCCTCCAGATGGGAAGACTCGGGGGCGGCAAAGCGGGGGGCGATGACTTGGGGGGGGATATCATGGCGTGGGCCAGGATGTTTCCCCAGATTTCATGGCGCCTCCTCTTATTTCGTTGCGTCCCTGGCCTTCCCTTGGGCCGCGCGCATGCCGCAGGCCATGATTTGCGCCCCCCTCTTGGACCCCCCCTCTTGGCTCTTGGCCGCTCCCGATAGACCTGATGGTGGGCATGCATGACCAGTGTTGACGCATTGAGAATAACACGAAGGGTTGGGCCAAAAGACAACTGAACTGAGGATCAGAAGTGCGAAGGAGGGGCAGGTGCTGAACTGCGCAAGTGCTGGGCCCTGTGCTGGTCCCAAGCCTCTTCGGGAATATAGACGCATGGCTCAACCTTCTCATTTGGCACTTCCGATGGTTCGGGCTCAACCTGGATCGCCGATTCACGACTTGCGGCTGGGGAGGGGGGGCGACGAATTGCTGGCGCGACTGTTGGGCTGCTGACTGCCTGGCAAGGTTGAGTGGCCAACGCGATCCGTGGCGACGGCAAGACCGCCAAAGTTGGCCTTGCTGGCCCGCGGATGCTCCTCCTCCTTGTTAAACTCGAAAAGCAGAGCTCCCTTCGCCGGGGGCGTCAGTTTCCTCGTCCTGGGGCGGGCCGCGCACGGAAGCATGCGCAGAAGCCTGCGACGGATTCAGATTGTCCCCGAAGAGATCCAGATGCTGTTCCGAAAGCTTTTCCGAGGCAAGGGCCCCTTCGACCGCTTTCTTCTTCTTGGCCTTGGAGGCCTGGGACCCTGGAGTGGCTTCCCGGGCGGCGCGGGACACCCGCGGCAAACGCCCCGCGCGTTCCAGTCGGCGCGTCGGAAGTTGGAGACCGGGCGAGCGAACGGCAAGAGCGAGCCCGATGCGCGGCCGCCGCGGCGCATCCGGGACTGGCCCCAGTTTGACGGGGTCAGGCCGAGCAGCCTCGGAGACTACGGCGCAGTCGACCAGGCCCTCTTAGCCCCCCGAGTCTCACGGGCGCCCCGCCCCTGGCGGAGCGATTCGTCCGTGAATTTGCGGGCGGAATTCTTTGCGAGAGAGAACATGTGGCCCCGTGTTCCAGTCCCCCAGGTAGACTCAAGGAAGGTGAAGAGCAGCAAGAAGCCCTCGCAGTTTGTGATGCCTGGACATATTTTCCCGCCGTGCCAATAGTAGCAGTGGGCAGTCAGGGGGGCGAGCAAAACAAGCCCCTGACGCGCAGCACCGATGCGGTGAACCCGCCCAGCGCATCGCACCCATCGGACTTATCGGCGAGCGGCTCGACCTCAGGATGACCCCGATCAAGAAGCAATTTATCACCTTCATCGGCGCGGTCAGCTTGCGCCTGACCGCCTCGGCCAGAGGGCCCGGCGGCATTCGAGATCCACCGGGGCCTCTCCGTCCGAGCCTCGCTTCCCCATGTGCGTTGTTGATTCGCCCCGGCGAGGGTCTCAGCGAGCCCCAGAATGTGAAACTTTGCTGGCAGTTCTAAGTTATGCGTCCATGCGCAGTCGCCCATGGCAGTGATACTCGTGCAGAAAATGTTGGAGACGGACTTGGATTGGTCTGAGTCGGGGCCCGTGGACAAAACTGGCGCCTGCACCTGCGCCCCATTGCAAACCTGTTCGATGGGCTGACGGTCGCGCAGGGGTTGGCGAAGGAGCGTTGTCCCCTGCGGGCTCGTGGCCCTTGCCCATGGCCTTGGCCGCCGCTGCCGCCTCCGCCGCCGTGAACTTGGCCGCCGAGATTTTGGCTGCCTCGGCGCGCACGGCCTCCAGGGCCGCGGCGTCGCGCTCGGCGGCCTGGGCCTTGGCCGCTGGGGGGCCCCGGCCGCGGACGCCGCCGCCGCCCTCGGCGGAGCCCGTCGGCTGAGCCTCGGGCCCCGCTTCCCCGCTGACGACGTCCTCGGCGCCTTCTACTTTCCTCTTCTTGGCCGCCAGCCTCCCGAGGCGGTGGCGTCCATTACCTTCGCCGCCATGTCGTGCCAAGACTCCACCTCGGCATTTTCGATCGCGCGAGCTTCCCCTTTCATCTGCGCGAGCGTAGCAGGGGTCCGCTCAAGCTCCTCCTTCTCGGACTCCTCGCACCCCAAGTTACCGATGTCCTCGAAGATCGCCTGGTCCCAAGAAACAGTAGGAAAGCCGCGCCGTCGGACTTTGGTTCGGGGGCTGCAGTGGGGCGCTGGTCCGAGCCCGGACCTTCGGCGCGGGCGAGCACCTCAGCTGCTCGCTTCTTCGCAATCCCTGTTGCCGCTAGTGCCTCCGCTGCCGCCGCCTCCTTGATCTCGGCAGTTGCCAGAGGCGTGCGCAGGCAGCGGACGTTGGATACCATCTGATCGTGCGCATGGTTGCAGTCCCTCCAGTGGCCCTCCGCGCGCGCAGAGTTGTCGGCGGCCGAGATGAGGGCCTCTGTCGGAGTGGGGGCCTTCGTCAGAAGCCCGACGCGACTGTTCAACCAAAGCCTTGACTTCCTGGTCGTCTGTGCCTTTCATGGCCTCTATCAGGTTGTCGGTCACGCTGGTGGCCGTCCCCCACGGATGCTTAGGGGGCTGGAGGCCGCTGCCCTCCGTTTGCTCGAAGTCCCAGACCCCAGCCACGTCCGCGAACGAAGCTCGGCCTGGTGACTGCGAGCGAGTACGAATATTCTTGCGGTTCTCGGTGACGAGAAGGACGACGTCGCGCTGGCCCTTGCTGCACTTGCCGCCCGAGTTGGTGATGATATCGCATGTCCCGCGCTGGCAACGGCTCCACATCCGCTGGCTCTTCTGGGGGGAGCCCGAAATGTCAGCAGAACACAATGGGGTATGACACTCGCTTTGGTCACATATGGCTGGCCCTCTCCGTGGGGCTCTGCGCTGTGTGCCTTAAGCGCTCCGAGCAAGCACGAGAGCTGGCACAGGCAACATGCTTGGGCCTAGGTGGCTTGAAAGGAGGAGGAGGAGGAGGAGGAGGAGGAGGAGGAGGAGGAGGAGGAGGAGGAGGAGGAGGAGGAGGAGGAGGAGGAGGAGGAGGAGGATGAGGAGGAGGAGGGGAGGAAATGGAGGATGAGGAGGAGGAGGATAGGAGGAGGAGGGGGAGGAGGAGAAGGAAAGGAAGACGAGGAGGAGATGGAGGAGGAGGAGGCGTTTGGAGGAGGAGGAGTAGGAGTAGGAGGAGGGCGGAGGAGGAGGACGAGGAGGAGGAGGGTTGAAGGGGAGGGGGAGGAAGAGGAGGCGGGGACGGATGAGGAGAAGGAGGAGGAGGGGGGGGAGGAGGAGGAGGAGGAGGAGGGGATGAGGGGAACGAAAAAGAGGAGGGGGAGGAGGAGGAGGAGGCGGAGGACGAGGAGGAGGAGAGGAGGAGGAGGAGGAGGAGGAGGAGGATGGGGGGGATGACGAACCACATCAGACGAAATCAACTCATTACAATAAGATCAACCGGACGAGAACTTTACATTACTACTACCAAGAGGCATAGCAACACGAATGATAATATTATTAATACGAGGCGACGAGGACGAAGAGGACGAGGAGGAGGAGGCGGACCAGGATGAGGAGGAGAGGGATGATGAGGATGAGGAGGACGAGGGGGAGGAGGAGGAGGAGGAGGCAGAGAAGGAGGAGGAGGAAGCGGAGGAGGAGGAGTCGGAACGGGACGATCACGGTGAGGGGGAGGTGGAGGAGGAGGATGACGAGGAGGAGGACGAGGAGGAGGAGCAGGAGGAGGAGGAGGAGGAGGAGGAGGAGGAGGAGGAGGAGGAGGACTTGGGAGGCGGAGGGGCAGGCGATGGAGGGGGATGATGTACATGATGAACTGCATCTGTTGAGGAGGATGGGGAGGGGGGGGGCGGAGGAGGACGAGGAGGAGAACAGGGCAGGGGGAAACAGGGAATGGGGGAATGGGGGAGGCGTGGGAGGTTTTGGCGAGAGCGGTGTCTTGGCAGGGGATAAGGTGGAGGAAGACAGCGATGTCGAGGGAGAGGGCGAGGGAAGGAGGGATTAGTATCAGGATGATGCGGAGGAGGGAGCGGGTGAGATTGATGACGAGGATGCAGATCATGGTAATGATGAGGATGCTGATGGTGATGAGGTTGATGGTGGTGCTGGTGAGGACGATGGTGATGATATTGATGAGTTTGATAACGATGATGCTGTTGATTAGGATGAGGTGCGGATGCTGCTGATGGTGCTGATGATGATGATCCTGTTGACGATGTTAATGCTGATGCTGATACTGGTGATGCCGATGGTGACGATGCTGGTGATGCTGATGGTGCTCCTCCTGATGATGACGATACTGATGGTGATGCTGAGGATGACGATGACGATGATGATGCTGATGATGCTGCTGATGATGCTGATGAGCATGCCGATGGTGGTGCTGCTGATGCTGATGCTGATAATGATACTGATGATGGTGTTGATGATGATGATGATACTGATGCTGGGTATGACGATACGGATGATGACAATGATGCGGAGGATGCTGCTGATGTTGGTGATCATGATGGTATTGCTGCTGACGATGATGATGATGCTGATGATTATGTCGATGATGATGATGATGCTGATGATGATGATGCTGATGATGAGGATGCTGGTGATGATGATGATGCTGTTGTCACTACTGATGACGATGATGATGCCGATGATGATCGTGATGATGATGATGCTGATGGTGATGATGACAATGCTGATCATGATGCTGAGGTTGCTGATGATGATGCGGATGATCACGATGTTGCGGCTAATGGTGACGACGATGGTGATTTTCAGATTGATGATGATGCTGTTGATTAATGATGATGATGCTGCTGATGATGTTGTTTCTGCTGGTGGTGATCATGCTGATGCTGCTGCTGATTCTCATGCTGACGCGAATGATGCTGCTGACGCTGATGGTGTTGCTGTTGATGGTGATGATGTTTATGATGATGCTGGTGATGCTGACGACGATGACGATGCTGATGGTGATGCTGCTGATGATGCTGTCGCCGATGATGCTGCCTACACTGATAAGGTTGATGCCGTTGATGGTGATGCTGATGCTGATGATGATGATGATGATGGTGATGCTGATTGTTATGATGCTGGTGATGCTGATGCTGATGTTGGCGATGATGCTGGCGCTGATGCGGCTGTTGATGCGGATGGTGATGGTGATTATATTGGTGGTGGTTCAGGTGCTGATGTTGCTGTTGCTGATGATGATGCTGATGATGCTGCTGCTGATGATGATGAGGATGCTGGTGCTGATGATGATGCTGTTGTCACTACTGATGACGATGATGATGCCGATGCTGATCGTGATGATGATGATGCTGATGGTGATGATGCCGATGCTGATCATGATGCTGAGGTTGCTGATGATGATGCGGATGATCACGATGTTGCGGCCAATGGTGATGACGATGGTGATTTTCAGATTGATGATGATGCTGTGATTAATGATGATGATGCTGCTGATGATGTTGTTTCTGCTGGTGGTGATCATGCTGATGCTGCTGCTGATTCTCATGCTGACGCGAATGATGCTGCTGACGCTGATGGTGTTGCTGTTGATGGTGATGTTGGCGATGCTGATGATGATGTTTATGATGATGCTGGTGTTGCTGACGACGATGACGATGCTGATGGTGATGCTGCTGATGATGCTGTCGCCGATGATGCTGCCTACACTGATAAGGTTGATGCCGTTGATGGTGATGCTGATGCTGATGATGATGATGGTGATGCTGATTGTTATGATGCTGGTGATGCTGATGCTGATGTTGGCGATGATGCTGGCGCTGATGCGGCTGTTGATGCGGATGGTGATGGTGATTATACTGGTGGTGGTTCAGGTGCTGATGTTGCTGTTGCTGATGATGATGCTGATGATGCTGCTGCTGCTGATGATGCTGATACTGATGATGCGAATGACGATGCTGCTGATGCTGCTGCTGATGCTGATCATGATGCTAATGACGACGATGCTGATGATGATGCTGCTGATGATGATGCTGATGATGATGATGCTGATGACGATGGTGATGATGATGGCGGTGGTGGCGGTGGTGATGACGATGATGCTGTCGATGGTGATGGTGGTGGTGATGGCGATGTTAATAGTGATGATGATTCTGGCGACGATGTCGGTGATGATGCTGCTGCTGCTAATGATGCTGAGGCTGATCATGATTATGATGACGACGATGATGCTAAGACTGATGGTGATGCTGATGATTATGATGCCGATGATGATTCCGATGCTGCTGATGATGATGATGATGATGATGATGATGATGATGATGCTGATGATACTGATACTGATACTGATTCTGATACTGGTACTGATACTGATACTGATACTGATACTGATACTGATACTGATACTGATACTGATGTTGATGATGCTGATGATGATGCTGATGCTGATAATGCTGATGCTGATGATGCTGATGCTGATGCTGATGATGCTGATGACGACGATGACGAGGGTGAGGATGAGAATGATGGTAATACTGCGGATGAGTATGAGGATCAGGTGTAGGAGGAGGACGAGGTCGGGGACGAGGACGACGTCGATGACGAGGAAGAGGAGACGGGCTCTTGGAGGAGGAGGAGGAGGAGGAGGAGGAGGAGGAGGAGGAGAAGGAGGAAGAGGAGGAGGAGACGGAGGAAGAGGAGGAGGAAGGCAGACAGGCTGGCATTGAGGGATGGAGTATAGATAGAACGAGCGGTGCCTCATTGGGCGCAGCGAGAGCATCCCAGGTGGTGGCGCTGGTTGAGGCCTCGGAGGGCTGCCTGCAGAATTTCCAGCCGCAGGAGTCTCCTGGGCAAACGCAAAGGGGCTCAGGGCTGCTTAGGGGAGGAGGAGGGAGGTGGAGGTGGATGTTGAGGAGGAGGGAGGAGATGGAGGAGGAGGAGGTGGAGGAGGACCAGAGAAGCCTAAGCTGCATCAGCGACGCTACACTGCACCATCCCGTTCCAAGCCGCCCCCCCCCAAAAAAAAACGTCCCTACAAGCTTGCCTTTTCACTACACGAAGCGCCCCCCTTGACAGACTGACGCCATGGGGGCCTGCCACGTTGGCGGGGATCCCCGTCGAAAAGGAATTGCCGTGCATTCTTCTGGAGTGTAATCAGGAATACGAACCACTGACCATATAGCTCAACGGGGTGCCTCTATCTGTGCAGCTGCCGTGAGGATGTCTAAGCCATGAGCTTCGAAGATGTTTTCAACGAGAACTCCATTTAGAGAAGGATCCGCCTGGGTTCCGTGCAGGGCTACATGTGTTGACGTTTCGGGTCTTTACACTTGCGGAGATCTCAAGCGAGATCTCCATTTTGACAAAGAACCGTCCTCCATCCTTGAAGCCGTTGCGAGTTTTCCAAGTGAAACGACTATTTTGAAATATATTATTGCTCCATCTTTGTAACCGCTGCAAGCTTTTAAAAAGCGTTGCGCTGTGCTAGTGCCAGAGCTCTACCTTGAGATTCTCTATCCATCCATGTAAGGCATCCCGCTTGTAAGCGAAGGACCCCCTCCTCCCTCCCCTCCTCCGGCCTTCCTTCAGGGAGCTCCCCCTGCTTTACTAGAAGGCTTACCCTTCCTGCAACAGCTCCATCGTCAAAACGACCCCCCCTCCATCCCTGACGCCGTTGCAAGCTTTTACAAGTAATGCGCGCGGCTTCTAGGCGAGAGCCACATTTTGAACAGTAGCCAGCCTCTATCCTTGAAGCTGTTGCACACTCTTCATACGAACGTGCGGCGCTAAGGCGAGATCCCCGTTTTGAAACGACCCCCCAACCATCCTTAGAGCTGTTTCCACACTTATACAGAATGCCCCAATCCTCCCCCCTCTTCCCCTCCTTCTTCTTTTAAGGGACCCCTCCTGCCCTCCTAGAAGGCATGTCTATGCGTGTGCTTCGTTTTCACCTGTCTCAGCGTGCAGCAGCTGACGACAGGCCTGGCATGAACGTGTGTTGGCGTGGTCGAGTGCAGACCAGTGAGCGCCGTGATGGGACCAGAACTCCGCCTTGAAAACGACCCCCCTGCCAGGTACCGTGCACGGCGCCGAGGCGAGAGCCACGCTTGGAGGAGACCTTCCTTCATCCTCGAAGCTGTTGCAACTTTCCAGACGGATGTGCGTGGTGCTCCGGCCAGAGCCCCATTTTGCAAGCGAGCCCCAGCAATCCCCGAAGCTGCTGCACATCTCGAGCCTGAAGCTCGTAATGGTAAGGAAGCCTCGGGCGAAACTCCCAGCCCACCCTGTCAGGGATGAGTTTTTTCCCCAAACAGTGGGGATTGGACGTGTATGGGGGGAATTTCCTCGTTGCCGCCCGTGGCGGATTCGTGGCCGCCTCTTGCGCTGGGTGGGTCCGGCGAGGTTTCGCCACGTTGCTGCTCGTGGCCGCCTTGTGGCCGCCTTGTGCCCTGGGTGGGTCCAGAGATGTTTCGCCACGTTGTCGCCTGGTGCCGCCAAGTGGTCGCCTCGTGCGCTGGGTGGGTCTAGCAAGGTTTCGCCACGTTGCTGCCCGTGGCCTCCTCGATGCAAGCTCGTGCGCCATAGCGTACACTGCTTAGCATAGCTCACGCTACATATACGATCCGGGGCTCCAGGCCCACGGTCCCCCCCCAGATGGGATGGGTCCCAGGGCCCCACGGCCCCCCCCCCCTGATGGGGGGGGACGATGACGACGACGACGACGATGACGACGACGACGACGACGATGACGACGACGACGACGACTGCGGCGGCGGCGGCGACGGCCTCAGGAGCTCTACTGGAGCACCACAGTGCCACTCCGCACACGCCACACCCACAGCACCACACCACACCCACAGGGGGAGGGAACACCATCGCGCGGGGAGGGGGGGCCGATGGCATCAGCATGAGGGGGGGGTCAGACCGTGGACGATATCTTATTGTACACAACATAGCTCACACCATGATGTAGATCGCACCACGGAGCTTACACAGCATAGCTTATCTAAAGGCTGCCGCCTCTGCCGCCGACCCCAATTGAGCGACGAATGTTTGATTCGTGAGTGGTCGGGGTACTTTTCCGAGCACGCAGGCAGGGTTCAGATGAGCCTCAGATTCTCCGTTGCATCTCGGATTTCTTTTTGGGGCAGTTTGGGAGCCTCGTGGGGTTGCTGTTGGGTCTCTTGGGGATTTCTTGCAGCCTTTGGGGGCCTGCTGGGGAGTCTCTGGGGGCCTCTTGGGGACTTCTTGGGGCTGAACGTTACGATTTGTGGTTTGTGTTCGTTCTCTTGGGCCATTTGGGCCGTCATGGGGTTCCTTGGGCGGCCTCTTGGGCAGTGCTGGGGTGGCATGCGGGACCTCGGGAACGCCGTCGCCTTTGAACGAAAGAAGGCAAATCAAATGTGTTGTGTCTCTTCAGGTCCTGTGAGGAGGCATCTGCGAAGCTTCTTGGGACATGTTGGGGCCTTCTTGGGCCTGTGGACGCCACGTAGGGTGTCTTGGGGCGATATTTGACCAGTCGGGGCGGTTGGGGCCGTCTTGGGTGTTTTTCAGGCTCTGTCGCCCTGTTTGGAGGTTCCCATCGCTCCGAAGCAGTGACGCGAGAGACCGCGAGAAGCCCCCCATGAGAACACTTCGCGATGTGGGGTTCTGGCTTCTGAACGACTCCTCAGGTGTACGGACTGAGGTTGACAGGGTGATGGTGCGAACCTGAGGGCACGCCCATTCCATGCCCTGAAGCACGGTGGCGGATCTACAGAACCATAATACTTTGACGATCATTGTTGTGTCGGATCGCATCACGTTGTCGAGCTCCACTGGGGGAATCGTCCTGGGGTGTGTCTCGTGGTTCCTTTGTATGAGTCGTGGGGGTGGCAGTACATCGGGTTAGCGGTTGGTAGATTGGGCGAGGTGGCACAAATTATCCTGGAACGGCGACGATCCCATTCCCGAAGGGAAAAATGGGGTTGGACGAGGAAGCGCGGTGGATCATTTCCGGCCCAGACGGCGGGGGGTAGGAGACCCCATGCGAGAAATTGTCCCAGCCGGTGGCGGCGATACGCGGAATTGTCGGGTGGGGGGTCCCAAGAACAGAGCTCCCAGGAGGGTGCGGGGGTCGGACCTGGTGGTGGCCTGGTGTCTGCGTGGTGGGGGGTCAGGGTCGGGTCCGGGCGCGGAATTGTCGGGTGGGGGGCCCCACGAACAGAGTTCCCCGGGTCGGGTGGTGGCCTGGTGGTGGCGTGGTGTGGGGTCAGGGTCGGTTCCGGGCGCGGAATTGTCGGGTGGGGGGTGGACAGAGCTCCCAGGAGGGTGCGGGGGTCGGACCTGGTGGTGGCCTGGTGGTGGCACGGGGGGTCAGGAGGGTCGGTTCCGGGCGCGGAATTGTCGGGTCCCAAGAGCAGAGCTCCCAGGAGGGTGCGGGGTTCGGACTTGGTGGTGGCGTGGGACTTGGTGGTGGCGTGGTGGGGGGTCAGGGTCGGTTCCGGGCGCGGAATTCTCGGGTGGGGGGTCCCAAGAACAGAGCTCCCAGGAGGGTGCGGGGGTCGGACCTGGTGGTGGCGTGTGGCGTGGTGCAGGGATCGGGAGCTCCCAGGAGGGTTCGGGGGTCGGACGTAATCCACAATTGAACAGTTGAATCGCACACGCCTCTGGGGTCGGCGGATTCCACATAGCTTGCACACCATGCTCACGTCGAGTAGCTTGCCGAACCAGGCCTACATAGCTTAGCTCACAACGCAAAACTTACACAACATAGCTTACACCACAGTTTGCGCCTCATACCTTTCACCTGTAGGCTGCAACGAGTCACCGTTTTGGGTCCACGCTTGCTAACATGTATAGCGCCGCCCCCCCGAAGCACAAGCGCCATATGGGCATGCCGTGTTCGCGAGTACCCCCGTGTTGAAAAATAAGTACCTTACATACTAGTACGGGTCGCCCCCATCCGTGTACCTGTCGCAAATTTCACGATTTGTCATGAGTTTCGAGGAAGTTTCAAGCGAGAGCGCCATTTAGAAAAGGAGCCGCCTGCGGTTCGTGCAGTGCCACATGTCTTGAAGCGTGGGGCCATTCAAGCTAGGGAAGGTCCAAGCGCGAGCCCCAGTGTGCCAAACAGATCCGTTCTCCATCCCTGAAGCTGTTGCGGACATACGTAGAGGATAGAGGAATGTGTGCGGCGCTCAGCCGAAAGCCGCATGTTTTAAAAGGCTTGTGCACCATCCTTATGACTGCTGCGAGCTTGCAAGACGAATGTGCGCGACGCTTGGACGATAAACCCATTTTAAGCCCTGAGCTGTTGCATGCTTTTCATTCAAATGATGTACGCGGCGCTGAGAGGAGAGATCCATGCCGCCCTGCATCCTTGAAACGGTTGCAAGCTTGTAAGACGAATGTACTTTTACCAACGAATGGCTCCCTCTCCCCCTCCTCCCCCCCTCCCCCCCTCCTCCCCCCTCCTTCTCTTCTAGGGAGTCCCTTTTCCTGCCTTCTTGGGAGGCTTGCCCCTCCTGCCCGCCGCTGCCCAGAGGAGCTCAGCATGGCGGCGTGGTCCCTGGCGAAACTCTACGCTTCTAGCAAGGCGGTGTGGGGGGGTCGGCGCCCACCTCGGCGTCCTGCAGACCTCTCTCTCTTCGCTTGTGCATCTTCCGTTTCCAGCGTCCATCTCTTTTTGACCGGCTTGATTAGATATCGATTCGGGTCGTTTGGTCCGATTCGATTCGACGCAGCCCGACGCATGGCGCCGTTGCGCATCCTTGCTTTTCCGATCCGATTCGATCACGACCCCGTGCCGATGCGGCTTGATCCGACGCACATCCTGATCCGAAGCGAATCCTGCCTCCCGTCCCCTCCCTCTGTATCCCCACCCCCGCCCCCTCCACCCCCTTCCCCTCTGTACATCTCCGTCCCTCCACTTCGTCGGCGACCTCTGCCCCTCTACTAGCCCCCACGTCCCTCCACCACTCTCCTTTTTTCCGGTCTTCCTCTACCCGTCCATTTCTTGTTGCCTCCATCACTCTGCCCCTTCGTCCCTAGATCATGCTTTCCTCGACCATCGATCTTCGTAATCCTCGATCCTCGATCCTCTTTCATCCTCATCGATCCTCGATCCTCATTTTTTGATCCTCCTTGATCCTCGATCCTCCTTTCTGATACTCCTCCTTCTCTTCCTCCTCCCTCTCGATCCTCGATCATCCTCGATCCTGCCTCCTCGATCCTCGGTCCCTTCGACCCCTCGGTTCTGAGTCATCCTCGAGCCTCTTCAAAGCTTCGACCTTCGAGCGCCTGGATCATCCGCGACCCCCTTGCCCCTGCAAACCTCGATCCTCGACCCAATTGGTCTTGGACCATCCTCGATCCTCCTCATCTCGATCCTCGATCCCCCTCCAAACCTCCACCCTCGACCACATGCATCCTCCTCCTCCTCCTCCTCCTCCTCTCGATTCTCGACCCTCCTCTCCAGAGTCCTCGGCCCTCGACCCCCTGGATCCTTGTCGGTCTTCCTCGCGATCCTCGATCCTCGACCTCCTCCTCTCGATCCCCGACCCCCCACCCTCCGATCCTCGGCCCTGGACCTGCCCGCCCCGGCCCCTCGGCAGGCCACGGTCGGGGACCAGTCGCGGCGGGGGCGCTCGAGCATGCGGCCACCGCAGGTGGACACCATGCTGCTCCGACTCGCGGAGGCGTGCCCGCCCACGCTTCACCTGCGGGGGGCCTCTGGGGTTGAGGTTCGAGATCGAGCCTCGAGGGTCAGGCTCTTCGTTCGGACGTCGTTCGCCCTTTTTCTGAGCCTTCGCCAGGCTCCTCGAGGCCACGGCTTGACTCCCCGCGAAGTTCTCCACAGGACGCAGCCTCGGGGAGAGCTCCGGGGGCCGATCTTCTGGCCCCGGATGCACAGACCCGCCGATCGGGCGGTCGGAGGAGGGCCAGCCGAGGCCTCGGCGGCCTTCCCCGGCACTTGCCGTCCTTTGCCGGGGCCTTCTGGGGGCCTCTCGCCGCCACGGCTGGGCCCGCGCCGAAGATCGGAGAAGAGAAAGCACCCGAAACAAAAACTTTTTTGGCGCTCCGCGCGGATTTCTTGGATCTGCGCTGGTCTCCCCTCCCTGGCGCGCGGAGCGCGCCAGGGGCGGCGCCAGAGGCGCTGCTGGGGCGCTCCAGTGCAGTTCCAAGAAATCCGCGCGGAGCGACAAAAGTTTGTGTGTTAGGGCGTTCATTCTGCTTCGAGAAGAACGAACGGGTCGAGGTGGACCCCGGGAGGGGTCCGGGGGCCGATTAGCCGCCGTTGTCTCCTTCTGCCCTCCTCGCATGGACTGCCCTGTGGGCGAAGGCGCAGCGGACTTGACGCGGATTCGGCTTGGCTGCGGCTCGGATTCGATTCGGGAACGGGCGTGGGTTCGGCGCGAATGGCGGCGCGACGGGGCAGAGGAGGTCCCCCGAAGATGCAACGAAATCGCCGTCGGTGCGCTTGGGCATTCCAGCCTCGTCGTCGTCAGCCGCGGTCCGAGTGGGGTCGTCGCCGTCCCTAGGCGTTCGGACAGGCTGATCCTGGGCGCTTTCCCTCCATCCCCGCAGTCGGGGAACTCTTGTCGGGCTCCCAGGGCCATCGCGAATGGGCTTGGGTCGAACTGCTGCCCCGTGGGAGAGGCTCCGAGGCCTCCGGGGGGCCGCGAGCTCGCAGAGCCAGTGCCTCGGAAGTCGGGCGGAAGATCCCCGGAGGGCCAGCCGACACCCGGCAGACGGTGCGGGGCAGACCTTCGGCCAGCGACCATCGAGGTCGTCGGGCGGGTCGAGCGGGCGGGCCCCGATGCGCGGGCCGGGCAGGCGGGTCGGGCCGGTGGGCCCGTGCGGGGTGGGCCGTCGGGCACTGGGCCGGCGGCCTCTGGACGTGCCGTTCTGGGGCAGTTCCTCGGCGTTCCCTCGGCGTTCTGCGCGCGCCCCGAGTCCAGGGGGGTGGGGCCTTCCTCGGGGGCGTGTTGCTCCTCGAGGTCCCCGGCCGAAGGGCGCCGCAGCGCGGCTGCCGGGCCCGATCTGCTTCGGGCGCCCTCTCACCGAGAGATCGAAGAACTAGCGGATCGAGGCGCTGCGGCGCCTCCTGCGGCGCCCTTGTTTCGCGACAGCCGCGTTGCCCTCAATCTACGTTGCCAGCTCGACGATCAAGATTCGAGGGTCGAGGTGTTGGCACGTGTTTTTGGATGTCGGTGTTGTTGCCAGCTCGGAGATCGGGGTTAGAATGCTCAGGCTTGGGGACGTTTTGGGGCCAGGACGGGTCGGTCAGGGGCCAGATGGTTTGACTCCCGGATTCGTCCCCTCTGGCGACGCGGAGCGACAGTGCGACGGCTGCTTTCCTACGGCTTTCGGCTCGGGGCCGTCAACATGAACACAGTTCGGGATGGCACATCTGCCCCAGGGAGTGTGTCGAGAGTCTTGGGGGGGGGACCCACGCCACGAACATGACCAGGGTGGAGGATGAGGAGGAGGAGGAGGAGGAGGAGGAGGGGGAGGAGGAGGGAGGGAGCAGGGAGGAAGAAGGATTGCGAGGAGGAATGCAATAATCAGCGGACGTTGCGCTTTCTGTTCTGCTTGGCCGTATGTAGCATGCCGGGCTTTCCCTGGTTGCAACGCTAGGGGTTGTGCTCTGACCAAAATCTCGAGGCGGATCCAGCCGCGGCGACAAGAATCCTGCTGTGTGGGCTAAACAAGGGCCAGATTTTCCAACCGCTCCGATTCCCCAGTCCTCGGTTCCTCGATCCTCGTTCCTCCTCCTCGTCGTTCCGTACACCTTGACCCCTCGATCCTCGATCCTTATCCTCCAACCTCGATCCCCGGTCCTCCTCCTCGTCATGACGTCCAGCCAGCCACCAGTTCTAGGCCTCGAAGGCCACCGACCACGGTGGCCAGACCCCTTGGCCCTCAACGGCGGCCTCCTGTCGTCCTTCGACGCCGCATCTTTCTTCGTGGCTGGGGCCTCCCTCGGGATCTCGACCGCTTCCCCATGACCGTCTTTCAATCCCGAGCCGTTCTATGATGGCTCCGGGGCCCAGAGACGACCTCGGGGCCGAGGTCGACGAAAAGCCGACCGCCGCCGACCTCCTGGATGGTTGGGTCTGGGTCCGAGTGTTTGGGTGGCGGCCTCAGGTGGCGACACGGTGCGTGCACCTGTTCGAGGACCAGGGCATTTCCAACATCACTTGGGCCATGGCGATCCTCGATCTCACGGGGAAGGAGCCGACCACCTTCCACGGCTCCCCTGCGATGGAGGAAGAGGAAGGGTAGGAGAAGGATGATCATGATGAGGAGGATGAGGATGAGGAGGAGGAGGAGGAGGCGGAGGCGGAGGAGGAGGAGGAGGGGGAGGAGGAGGAGGAGGAGGAGGAGGCGGGTCGAGCACGTGATTCACCTCAGGGGTATCCCCCGTCGAGGATGCTCGGCGTCTCTGCTCTTTCTTGACTCGGCCATGGTACCTTTCACGCGGCCGCGGAATCGAAAGAGGCAGAGGCGGAGGATGAATATGTGGAGGAAGAGGCGAAGAAGGAGGGGGAGGAGGAGGAAGAGAAGGATGAAGCGGAGGAGGAACCGGTGGAGGGAGGAGGAGGAGGAGGAGGAGGAGGAGGAGGAGGAGGAGGAGGAGGAGGAGGAGGAGGAGGAGGAGGAGGGGAGGAGGAGGAGGAGGAGGAGGAGGAGGAGGAGTAGGAAGAGGAGGAATAAGAAGAGGAAGAGGGCTACTACTGCTAATACTCAGAAGAAACACAATGATACGAACAATAATACCAACCATCTTAATAAAGAAGCCAAACAACGAATAGTACTGACACGAAGACTAAGACTAGTACTACGATTACTGATAACATTACACATGCTATCACGAATCATACGAATAAGACGACTCATACTAACACTATTAAGAAAACGAGTCTTGTTCATAGTAATCGTAATCACAATCGCAGGAATAGTAATAGTTCTGCGACTACCATCGGTGCGGTTACGCTGGGGTGCGGTTTGCGAGTGGCTTTGTGGCGGCCTTTCTGGGACCTTTGTGAGAGACAGTGTCATGCCTGTCGTCGTTTCGAGCGACACTGTCATCCTCGATGTGTGTTCCATTGTACTAGAAGGAGCGACAGTGTCATGTGATTCGGTCGCACTGAGTGACAGTGTCATCCCTTTTCCGGGGGCGGGAAGGGCAGGCATGACAGGAGGCAAACCGCACCCTTCGCAAACCGCACCCATTGTAGTCGCCGAATAGTGAGGATCCTAATAATTATAAAACAGAAGAGGAAGAGGAGGAGAGGGAGGAGGAGGGGGAAGAGGATGTTATCCAGGATGGTGGGTGAGGAGCGAGGAGTGAGGAGCCGGCCATGGCCCCCGTGCGCGGCTTCTTCGAGGCAGTGATCAAGTTCGCCACCAAGGAGCTCTGGAAATACTCGGCGCAGGCAATCGCCAACCTCCTGTGGGCCTGCGTGCGCGTGGAGTTCCCCGCGACGAACCGCCGGGCGAGGGACCCGAGGGTTTCTGTCAAAGCTGGGACGCCAGGAGGGCGAGGAGGAGGAGGGGGGATCATTCAGGACAGTTCAGCTACGACTATGTCGAAGGTGCGCGAGAGAACGCTGGGCAGCGCACCAGCCAGCCTTCGTAGTCTGGCCAGCTCACGGGGTTTCACGAGCCTGCTACGCAAATCGGTTCGGGGGCGGGTTCACTGACAGTTGATCATGAGGAGGACCCTGAGATCCTGACCTGGCACCTTTTCACATTGGGCGATTTCGCCCTGTTTCGGACCCCAGAGCCATCGCGGATCGATCTGGCTCGGGGAAGTGTTGCAAAGATGTTGGATGTGGCCTCCCGTTGCGAGGTCGGATCTTGCGCCATGAAGCAAATTTGTCCGGAGTCGAACGGGTACTTTAGTTTTACCGAGCTGCTTGCGGCAAGACCGCCACCGTATCAGCCCAGCATTTTGGGTGGCGAGTATTCGAGGGGCGCGAGAGGTTGTCACGTGTGCTACCTCGTGTCTAGAGGCTTGGCGGAACCATGATGATGGTGATACTGATGTTGTTGCAGATGATGATGATGATCATGATGATGATAATGATGATGATGATGCTGATGATGATGATGATGATGATGATGATGGTGGCGATGATGATGATTCTGATTATGATGATGCTGATGATGATGCTGCTGCTGATGATGATGATGATGCTGATGACGCTGATCATGCTGATGATGCTGATGCTGATGCTGCTGCTGATGATGATGACAACGATGACGATGCTGATGATGATGATGCTGATGTTGATGCTGATGCTGTTGATGATGCTGATGATGGTAATGACGACGATGGCGACGAGGACCATGATAACGATGATTGCTATGATGCTGCTCATGCTGATGATTGTGATGATGCTGAGGATGATGATGCTGCTGAAGATGATGATGATGTACTATGGGGATGATGATGCAGATGAGGGTGAGGATGATGATGATGCTGAGGCTGCTAATGATCATGATGCTGATGCTGCTGCTGAAACTGATGATGGTGATGAAGGTGACGCTGTTGATGATGCTGATGGTGGTGATGACGACGACGAGGACGATGATGACGACGACGATGATGATGATGATGATGATGATGGTGATGATGATGATGATGATGATGATGATGATGATAATGATGATGATGCTGATGATGATAATGCTGATGCTGATGATGATGATGATGAGGATGCTGATGTTGTTGATGATGATGCTCATGATGACGATGACGATGCTGATGCTGATGCTGATGATGATGCTGATACTGCTGCTGGTGATACTGAGGATGATGACGATGATGCCGATGATTATGATGATGGTGCTTGTAGCAATGACGACGAGGAGGAGGATGAGCAGGAGGAGGATGAAGAGCTGATAATACTAGTGATGACGATGGTGGTGATGATAATGCTGCGGCTGATGCTGATAATGCTGATGCTGATGATGGTGAGGTGGTTGAGGAAGTCGAGCATGCCAATGCTACTGGTACTGGTGCTGATGATGCTGATGCTGATGATGTTGCTGGTGCTGATGCTGATGACGGTGGCGACGATGATGCTGATTCTTATGCTGATGATGATACAGCTGCTGCTGATGATGATGATGATGCTGTTGATGATCATGACGATGATGCCGATACTGGTGCCGATGTTGATTCTGTTATTGCTGATGGTGAAGATGTCGATTCTGCTTATGATTATGCTGGTGATGGTTTTGGTGATGGTGATGCTGCCGATGATGCTGATGCTGCTGCTGATGATGATCCCGATGATGATGCTGATGATGATGATGAGGATGATGATCATGATGATGGTGGCGATGCTGACCATGACGATGCTGCTGATGATGACGCTGCTGGTGATGATGATGTTGATGCTACTGCTGTCGCTGATGCTGATGCCGATGCTTCTGATGCTGCTGCTGATGATGATGCGGCTGCTGATGATGATGCTGATGCTGATGATGATGATGCTGATGACGATGATGTTGATGCTGATGCTGATGCCGATGATGATGATGATGATGATGCTGATGATGATGATGATGATGATGATGATGATGCTGATGATGATGATGATGCTGATGATGATGATGATGGTGATGGTGATGCGGACCATGATCTTGATGATTGTGCTGCTGTTGCCGATGATGTTACTGATGACGATGATGATGGTTAAGGCGATGCTGGTCATGCGGGTGCTGCTGATGCTGGTGATGCTGATGATGATGAGGCTGATGCTTATGCGGATTCTGATCATGATGATGATGCTGCTGCTGCTGATCATGATGCTAATGCTGCAGATGATGATGCTGATGATGCTGTTGATGCTGATGCTGATGCTGATGATGATGCTGCTGCGGCTGTTGACGATGGTGGGGATGACGATGATCCTCAGGATGATGCTGCGAACGAGGATGATGAGGAGCAGGGCGATAAGGAGGAAGAGGACGGCCGTTACGTGTGACGCCTTTCGTCTTCAATATTTGTGGAGCCCCGATGGAATTCGTTTTTGACGGTGAGGCAGTTTGGGGGGGCCCTCTTGGGCCGTTTGGGGGCCCTCTGAGGCTGTCTAAGGATTCGTATGGGGCCGTTTTGTATGAATCTTGGCCTCGAGGGAGGGGTTGTGGCCTCAGGAACGCGACTTTGATGTGATTTTTTAGGGGTTGTGGTCTCGAGAGTGGGCCATGTATGCATGACTGCGCTGGTAGGGGGGGGGGGCTGGAAGTTTCGAAAACCCGACCAGACACCACTTGGCATTCTAGCACTCCTCAGCGTGCTCGTGGGCACAGTGGCGGATACGTTGTTGGACTCCAGGGGCCCTTCGTTGGCTTCAGGACCGTAAAACAATAACCCAGGATTAATGACCGATGCTGTGGGAGGCCTCCAGGGTCTAGAATCCGTCAGGACCAGTTTGCTTCATGCCACATCTTACGTAGGGGAGGGGGAGGTGACTGGGGAGGAGGACGGGGAGGGGGGAGGGGAGGGGGAGTCGGGGGAGGAGTACAAGTGGGTCTGCCTAGTGGGCGGGCCTTGTAAAATCAATGGTCACCTCTGTGTCGTGCCTGTCGCGTTTTGTGTCTTGTGTCTGGAGCACTGACTTCCCTCGAAGAGACTCGTTTCCTCTCGCACTGTCTCTGCAGCCAGTCCCGACTGCAGTCATGACGCGCAGTGAATTCCCAATAGCAATCCGCTTGGATTCGGAGAAGAAACACATTTTTTTTGAGGTCCGCGCGGAGTTCTCTGAGCGGCTTCCTGGCGCGCTTCGCGCGCCAGCGAGGTGTGTTCGGCCGAGGTCGGGTTCGTTTATGAGCGGGCGGGTCATGGCATTTCTTCAAGGTGTGCTTCCTTGGGGGCCCCCCCAGGAGAAGGCGAGCGAGCGGATGGGCGCTCTGTGCTCGGCCGTCGCCAGTGTCATGACCGAGCGTATGAATGAGGGCCGCTCGGTGACCTGGCGGGACCTCTCAGGCGCCTCGGGGGGCAGCCGACGCTCCTCCTCCTCCTCCCTCCTCCTCCTCCTCCTCCTCCTCCTCCTCCTCCTCCTCCTCCTCCTCCTCCTCCTCCTCCTCCCTCCTCCTCATCCTCCTCCCTCCCTCCCTCCCTCTCCCTCCCTCCCTCCCAGCCGCCGCCCCGGTTCGAGAGGTTTGGGTGCCGTACCAGGTACGGCGACCTCTCCCACGGCGGCAGCCACGCGCGCTGGCCCGCGCCCCAGTCCCGCGCGATCCGCGCCTGGGCGGCCTGCGGCCGGCCGCGCCCGCTCGCGCAGCCCCCCGCCTGGCCCGCCTGCAGGGCCCGCTGGCGGCGCTGGACCCCACAGGCGCGCGCGCGCCGAGCCCCCGGGGCATCGGCGCGCGCGCCTGAGACGGACACAATCGCGTACGCTGCTGCGTGTCGCGGCCGCCGCTCGCCTCCTTGCCGCCCACCACAGTGCAATGGGCAAGGGTCGCGCTGGTGCGACTGGCGGCACAGCCCCCCCGCCGTGGCAAGGCGCGCCGCCGCCCCCACCGCCAGGCTGGTGGTGCGATGACTGTGGCAGCTTCGACGGCCCGCTGGAGAGGCTTTGCAGGTGCTGCTACCCAGGCCCGTCGGGCCCAGTCGGGGGAGGCGGCCACGGTGGCTCACCGCAGCAGCGCCAGCAGCAGCAGCAGCAGCAGCAGCAGCAGCAGCAGCAAGAGCAGCATCCTCGCCGCCGAAGCACGACATCCCCAGGGACGCCAGCCCGCCGACGCTCTTTCTCCCGCCGCCGCAGGCGCGAGCGCGAGAGGCGAGAGGAGCGGCCGCGGTCAGGCTCACGGGTACGCTTCGCGGACGAGCCCGAGCCAGACCCCGACGGCAACGGCGTCTCGGACGCCGACGAGGAGTTTCGCAGCCCTGCGCTAGGGATTCTCCCAGCGCTGCCGCAGGAGGCGAGGCTGCACCCTGCGTGGGTTGATCCACCCAGCGACGAGCGTGCCTTGGCGGCGCACAGGAGGACACTAAGGCAGATTGCCGCTGCGACAGGGAAGCGACTTCAAGCTTCCATCGACCTCGGGGCCTCCGAGGAGATTTTGACAAGTCAGAAGCTGGAGTACAGTGTCCAGCTGTGCATGATCATCACGGCCCGTGCGCCAGGCGAGCGTTGTGACTGCCAACGTGCATGCGTTGCCAAGGCCCTGGGCAAGTTCGAGCGTGCCCGCGAGGCGGTCGAGAAGGCGCAGGCACGACTACAAGAGGCAGATGCGAAGTGCACGCAGCGCGAGAAGGAGCACGACAGGGCCAAGATGCTGCTGGACCAGCTCGAGGCGATGCAGATCGGCCCTGCAGCTGGAGGAGCAGCCGACGACGTGGACATGGGAGCGGACGAGGGCGGCACGCGGACGCCAGAGGTGGGAGGCGTGGCGCCTCAGACGCCTCAGAGCACGCCCGTGCAGCTGGCGGCCATCGCAGAGCTCCGGAGCGGCCAGGCGACGCTCGCGGCCCAGCTCAGCAGTTTGACGGCAATGCTGACGACGCTGCAGACCGCGATGGCAGCAGCAAGGACCCCACCAGCTGCTGGCGAGGTCCCCGCCCCTCCTGATGGCGGTGGCCCGCAGGTCAGGCCCTTCGCAGGCCAGCCCCAGCGCCTGGGCCGCATGCCGACGGCCGAGGAGCTCGCGGCCGCCGCGCCCGCCGCCGCGGCCGCGGTAGCAAGCCCAGTGGACGGAGCAGCTGACCACGCAGCTGCCGCCAGCGGCTGGCGGCAGCTGCGTGGTCAGCCCAGCGCCAGCCCCAGCGGGCAGCTGCGTGGGCAGCTGCCCGGTGCGTGGGCTGCCCAGCGGGCAGCCCACGCAGCTGCGTGGGCAGCTGCGTGGTCACCGGCGCGGGGCTGGCGGCCAGCCCCGCGCCGCCCACGCCCGTGGCTGCTGGCGGTGTGCCTGCGGCGCCTGCAGGGGCTGACGGCGAGGACCTCGCAGCGGCGCGGGCTCGAGCCGCCGCAGCACGCCGTGCGAAGCGCGAGCAGGAGCGTGCAAGGCGCCCGCCAGGTCAGCCGCTGCTCGTGGACGCCATGGCCAGGCAGCAGCAGCTGGGTGGGCATCGGGGCCGAGGATGCACCCCGACACCAGCTGGACGCGCTGACATCGCAGCGGAGTTCGGCGACCATGGGGCGGAGGCAGCCGCAAGACGGACGCGGCGCAGCCGTGATCGCAGCCCCCGCAGGCCCGACGGCTTCGAGATGGTTGGCGGTGCTGGTGCAGAATCGACTGGAGAGTCGACGCTGGGGTGATGCAACAGGGCAGGCGGGCTGCTGGGGGTGAGGTGCCTGCTGCTAGCGCAGCCGACGTTGCATCAGATCCCTTTGTTCGGATGGAGTCCGATCCGACTTTCCCCCCTCGCTCCAGGCCGCCCTGCCCCATTCCCGATTGTGAGTCTTTTGTGGGGGGCCTGTGTATGCCCTGGCCCTGTGCTCACACGCTAACCTCAGTCTTCTACGGGCCCCAACAGTTGCCCGACGCCTGCTATTTCCCCCCCTATCTCCATAGTAGCGCACGAACCTTTTTTGAATCCCACGGAGGTGCCCTCCCCCCCCGAGGACGAGGTTATCATGTATGAGGTGCGTGCGGACGGATCTGGTGGATCTCGGGTGCAAGTGCCGGGTGGGCCACCATCGTGGGCGTGGTGCATGTACTCAGTGACTGCAACACAACAGTACACATGTGCAGGTTATCTATGTGGTGTTGACCCCTCCCTCCTCGACCTGCCAAGTGCATCAGGTGCTGCTGAATTTCAAGCCGCCCTATGGCTAGTGCCATGGATGTTGCAGGCTCCCAGCAGATTCAGGTCCAGGCCCCATGGAAGTCTTCGCGGACAATATCCTTGTAGTCAGATCGGCCGAAGGCGGAGCGAACTACTCGTCGTGTGGGGGCTATCCTGGGATGTTCGATGGGGTGCTGAAGCTTCTCCGCTGTTTTACCACGGTACGTTGGAAACATGTCCTGGGACACAATGCCGATCCACGGAACGAGCTTGCAGATGCCATCGCACATTTAGCCTACATGGGCCTGGCACCGACGGTGCCCGACGACTTTCAACCGTGGTCTGCGCTAGGAGGCGCCGCCGCCGCTGCTATGCCCTGGTTGCGGATGTCAGCTGTTGCCAACGCCAGCGACGGTCAAGGGGCATGCCCGAAAGTTGGCGTGGATGAAGTGCCCAGCATATGTCCACCTCTCTTAGATCCCCGTTGCGCGTTCTCGCCGCATGCAGGACTCAGCTCGGAAAGTAAAGACACCGTCCATTCGCCCTCCAGTTCAGGTCTACATGCCTCTGTCAGGTTTGCAGTGGCCAATGTCCTCACGTTACGGCCCAGGAGGAAAGCAGCACGGAAGGGAGACAGGATGCGAATACGATGTCGGTACCAGGACGCAGCAGGACTGGATACCCCTGGGCGCATGCTATCCTTGGCGTACTTGTTCGATGCGCGACAGTTTCTCTTTATCGGCACGCTTGAGACTAGAATGGGACGCAATGGATGGACGCCAGCCGCTCAGTATCTCGTGCTCACCACAGCCGCTGAACAGAAGGGTGCAGGAGGGGTAGCGTTGTGGGTGCACGCAGGTATTCAGTACGTGCGTGGTTGTACGCTTGCTCGCCGCCATCTCCGTGTTCTCAGCTTTGCCTCCCACCATCTTCTTGTTGCTGTGCGTGCGCCACATCTGTGCGTCGACATATTGGTTGGGCATGCTCCGCGCTCCAGACGTGACAGCGCCGAGGTTGATGAGTGGTGGGTAAGTATCGAACGCATTCTGCGCCAGCGCCCGCATCCCGCACCCCTGTACTGTTTGTTGGATGCCAATGCTACTCTGGGCTCCAGGGTCTCGGAACATGTTGGCGAGGTTGCCGCCGAAAACGAGAACCACGCCGGTGCACGTTTCCATCAGTTTTTGCAAACCACGGGACAAATTGCCCAGTCCACGATGTTACCCTCGGCTTCTGGGGTCCACGGTACCTGGCTTCCCCCTGGGGCTCAAGGGACGGACCCGCGGCATCGCATTGACTACGTCACTGTCCCGTGCGGACAGCTATCGTGCGTTACACGACAGTCAGTGGAAGTGGATCTTGATCTCTCTTTGCGTAGTGGTGATCATTTTGTGGTGTCGGCAGATGTGCATGTGTACCCATCCCTGCCATATCAGCACGCACACACGTGGTCCCGTTTACGAGTGGACGAAGCGAAGTACAACGATCCAGAGTGTTGTGCCGCATTCGTGCGTGAGCTTGAGTCAGCGCCTCAGTCCGCCGACTCATCCCACCCGGACGACCATGCCGACCACTTGAGCCAGCACATTTTGCGTGCAGCCCAGGTTGCTTTCCCGCCCAGCGTTTCAGACACTGGCCGACAGGCCAAACATTGTTGGATATCCAAGGGATCCCTGGACCTGATGGACCTAAGAACTCAAGGACGCGCGGCCCTTCGGGCCCTTCGGTCACAACTGTCCCGCCTGCTCCTCACGTGTGTGTTCACTGCTTGGGCCACCGACGGTGCTGAGAGTGGCGCTCGGTTTTGCCATCGGACTTTGAGTTGGTTTCATTCATGGCGCGAGGGCCCATCTCACTACCCAATACTGTGTGTATGCCGAGCTATCGCGAAGGCTACGGACACAGTCGTGGACTGCGCCGCCCCGTTTACCCTGCCCCTACGCAGCCCAACAGACAAGTATACCTACCCACCGTTCAACCAAGACCACTTAGTGGGACTCAGATACTTTGCCCGCCTACCCACCACCCCCGAACTACTTTGCCCACCGACAGGACTCTGGTTCCAACTGGGAGCCATACTGAGTTTTTGCCAAGGGTGGATGGGATTTTACTGGGCCGCCAGCTACATATTTCTGCGCGCTGCCACGGGATTCGATTCCACATGGCATTGCGCTGCCATTGCCAAGGGAGTCAAAAGCGCGTGGGACCGACGGCAGTTTGCAGAGGCTTACTCGGCTTTGCGACGTATCGGGGCAGGG